TTCTGACAATTCCCCCTCTTTTTTCAATGTGTTACAATACCTCTATTACATACATACATGTGGTTTGCATAACAGTAACTTCTTGACTTCTAACTATCAACTCTTCACTTTCAAACATTTGTCTACTATACTTAATTTCTTTAATTACTTCATCATACATTTGTTTCTATTACATCTTAAACACATATAATAATTCTTCCATATTACTCTGCTTTGCTTCATTATAACTTTTCTACACACAATAACTTCTTCTCATTACATAATACATTCCTGCAAACTTATAATGTCTTAGTACATACAATCATGTCTCTATACAATTCTGCATTTCTTTTACATATTAAATCTTTATCATTACTGCTCTTCATTTCATAATGTCTCTCTGTGATTCTATAATCTCTTCAATACACACAATTACTCTTCTTCATTACTTCTTATTACATATCATTTCTTAATACATCATAACTACTTAATARATCATATCTTCTATATAACTACTATTCTTCATTACCTCAATACTTTAATAACCATTACTTTTAATAATCATTTCATGATAATTGTAACTTTTTAAACTCTATAACTTTACATCACATMATTTAACTTCTTAGTCTCAATACATCAATACAACAATACAGGGGAAATAAATGCGTTATAAAAATCTTAGCAATACACATAGCAAAACTAAAAAACATAAAACGCATTGCATTTTAGCAAAGGCACCTACGCTTTGGTTGAACACAGTTTCAAATATCTTGCACTATTACATTTTTGACAATCTAAACCAAATCATAACAAACTCATTTCATATCAAAACGTTCTGGTACTTGCTGATTCTAGAAATCACTTTCATCCCAGATAGTGTAATCTTTCCCTACTGCAACTGTTTCTACGCCCCCAGTGGCTGAATTATGGTACTGCATGTATTTCACTGCATCTCTCTCATTTATGGCACTAACTTGCTTTGTAACTATTAGCTCTTCAGGTTCCTGTTTAATTTGCAAACTCTTTCTTGCAGGTGTTTGTGTCATTTCCCCTCTACTCTTTGGTGATTCTGCTTCTGACTTGTATGTGACTTCTCTTTCCTTTGAATGTGCACCTTTTTCTGCCAACTCCTGCACCTTCTGCATCACTTCTGCATATTGTTTAGCTATTTTCTCACTCTTTGTCTGTGTGTGTGTTTCTGACTCATGTCTCTTCTTCACTTCTGTGCCTGTGGCAACACTCCTTTCCTTTCTACTTGTATCTGGCTCAATCTTTACCTCTTGTTTCTGCTTCTGCTCAACCTCTGCATCTGGTGCAACTCTTCTCTCCTCTCTCTTTGTGGGTAAACCATGTAAATTCTCTCTGTTAGTGTMTATGTCTTCCCAGTCTCTCAATCTTTGAAAATATGCCACTCTCGCTAACTTGACTGTTTGTGGTGAACTCAAAAWTTTTAGATAATTCTTATAATAGCCAAGGAAAAACATCTCARGATAACGGTTGRGTTTGTTTCTCTCATTCACAGATAGTAACACATTTGCACAGTGTCCAAAGATTCTCATGTGTTTGAAACTTGGTGCATAGCCATACAATTTACGAAAAGGAATATCATCCAACACCTGATCCCACAAACAATTCATTATATAATTAGCTGTGTGGATGGCTTCTGGCCAATAAACATTTTCAATCTTGGCATCCTTGAATAAACATGTTTTCATTTCATTTATATACTCCATTCTTTTATCTGCAATTCCTTCCTCATTCTTGAGCTGACTCATTTCAATAACTTCAATTCCTTCTGACTTCACAAACTGCTTTAACTCATCTTTACACACTTCAGCTCCTCTATCAATATACAGTGTCTCCAGTTGTGCATCAAAAACATTCTCAACCATTTTTAACCAATTTTTGAGCTTCTCAGTGGTTTCAGACAAATCCTTCAGGAAATATACAAAAGCAAATTTAGATAATTTTTCCACTATCAACATAGTAAATCTAGATTTTCCACCACTTTGTTGGTAAGGTCCTGCAATACTAATATGTCCTATTTGGAAAAGTCTCTCAGCTCTAATCTTGGATTTCTTATAACACTTAATCGGTTGCCTTTTTACCTCACTACAGATTGCACATTTTAGATCAAAATAACATCTTTCAAGCTCATGTTCTGGACACAAATTTAAAGTTTTCTTTAAGACTTCCATGTCAGCATGCCCCATAATCCTATGGAGTAAATGTATGCACCTGTCATGTTGGATCTCATTTTTAACACACTGTACTTGCACATTCTCATTGCTCTCTGTCTGGTTCAATTTCTCAAACATTAAGTACATTTTATCTCTCTTCACACCTTTCGCAATCAAAACACCCTGTTGGTCAAAAATATAACAATAAATTCCTTTGAACTTTACTTGGTAATTATGATCAGTCAAAGTTGCTACACTCAACAGATTAGTTCTCATTTCTGGTACATACAATACTTTCTCCCAACAAACATTAAGACAAGGGATATAACAAGTACCAAACCTTTCAAACATGAGATAAGACCCATCAGCCATTGTTACCATACTCCCCTGGGTATATTGAACGCTGGTCATTTTACTCAGATTATTGGTGATATGATGTGTCGCACCTGAATCTAAAACCCATCTGACTGTTTTGATGCCATCCAGTTCTCCTACAGCAGCAACCATGATCCTCGCTTCTTCGGCTTGACTTGAGCTATTTTTCCCATAATAGCCCCCTCTGTTTCCGCGACCTCTGGAACCACGAGCACGACTACTTCTGGGTTGGTCTCTTCTTTCAACACAATTACGTGCCAAATGTCCAATTCTATTGCAGTTAAAACATCTCCGGTCAGTTGTAGTAAATCTGACTGATGGCTGTGCTTCATCGGCTGTGTTCATTGACTCCCCCACGCAAAGACTTTGTTCTCTCTCATAACGTTGCTGCTCATCTTCTTGCAAAATTCGACTGCACACCAATTCCACTGTTAAGTCTTGTGCTCTTACTGATTGTAGTGAATGAAACAAAAAATCCCACTCAGAGCTCAATGATGCCAAAAGAATGTAAGCTCTTGATTCATTACTCAGTTCCACTCCCCGGGAACTGCATCCTACAAACAATTCTTTCATCAACTTGAGATGTGTACGAATGTCTCCTCCTGATTCAAGTTTAGCTCTGTAAAGCCGCTTTGTCCAGATCAACTTTGCCACAACGCTGTCAGTAACGCGTATGTCCTTTAAAGTATCCCAGATCTCCTTTGCAGTTTGTAAATTCCTTATGTGTAAAAGTTGACCACCACTCAGGCACAATACAATGGTGGAAATAGCTTTTCGGTTCTTCTCTGGATCTGCTTCAGTACCAGTTAAACAATTTTGTAATCCTTCTCTTGCCAATAAATGCTGCATGTATATGGACCATTCATTGTAATTGTCATCATTCAATTTGTCAAAACTTACTGTAGGGTGATTGATAGACGTAGTCATGTTTTAACCCTCGGACACCGAGTTTAAGCCCAGCTGAAAGAAAAACAGCTTCTGGCAGTTTTATGGCTTGGCAGATTCCAACATCAATCACCTTCTTAATGACTCAATTGGCCCAGCGCGCCCCGCTGCGTATCTTCCTTCAAATCTGAGTCGTTTCACTCACCGCAGGGCTGCAATCCTTTTATCACTTCACACTGGATAGCCATGGCAAAACTCTTCCTTTGCACCGTTCAGGCTGTTCCAGTTCCCATGCTCCGTCAGCCTCTCCTGTCAACTGGGTTGCACTTCACGGCTCCGGCAGCAAGCTTACTGGTCTGCTCCTTGGTAAATCTCCGATAACTTATCCATAAATCTGAGTATTAAGGGCCCATAACCAGTATTAGCAGTCAGACTCTCCAGTCTCGGCACAGCAAGCATGTGGTTTCAAAATAAACAAACTCAGGCAGCATTCTTCTTCTAAGGTAGCTTTACTTAAAGCGTCTATACACACAGAGACTACATCGTGGAACTAAAAGATGGCGACGAAAAAAAGCATAGCAAGAAGACACAGTAAACATAAGAACCGCCCTTCTGTCTTATCTATGTTCTTGGCTGGTACACTCCTTAATTTCTCTCAGGGCAAAGGAATTTCGTGTTATCACAGTTTCACTGTCTGGCCTGTAACTTTGTAACAATAACATATGTGAGCTGAACAGTAAATGAACATGACTGAATCCATCTTTAAGAAGCAATACTAATACATTATAATATTAATGCAAACACATTGAAAAACATACATACATATGACATAACTATTCTGACATAATTGACGACAGAAACCAACTGGACGTCAATGCATATTGGCAGTTTAGATACATTTTATGATTGTGTGGTTGTTTACTTGTGGTCTAGTTATAAAAAATAGCACTGAGATTACTAAACTGAGGTGACAGTACTTTCCGCATATCATGAAATGGCATTATTCATTACAAAAAGCAATGATGATTACTAAAGTGGGAAGCAATAGGGACAGAAACATACGTCATTATGGGTGGATAAACTCAGTTAAGGAAATTTGCCAGACCTTAGCAGAGATGTCAGTAAGAGGGGGTCTTGGAGGTCTAGGAGCTAGGAATTTTTGTGATCTCAAAGGGATTTTACTTCCTCTTAAGAAGCAGGCAGGGCCATGGTCTGGTGATTGCATCCTAGAGATTTGAGTGGAGCCCCAAATGACTACAGTGAAATGGTGTACCTTCACCAAATTTCACTTTGGAAACAGTTACGGCCATTCCTGGGTAACATTAACTTAGGCAAGGTGACCTATGCATTTGTAATCATACATCTTGATTACTGCGGTGCATTCTGTGTGGGAATGTGTGTGTGTGTGTGTGTGATTCAGAAGCTTGTACCATGAAATTCTGTAAAAGGCCTAAATAATTGTGCATAGCAATACCGTACACCATATTCTATTTCACTGGGTTGGTTCAGCAGCTTAGTCAACATAATGTTCTGTGTGTATCATTCTTAGTCTATAGGTGGAAAGGACCAGCCCCTGTACAGAATTGAAGCATTCAGTCCAGATGTCTGAGGCCAAAACTGCAAATGCAACTTTGCAGCACACAGTGAAGCAATCTGTGATTGTTTTGAACTATTCTAACATTTATTCTGTCTCTTACAAGTGGTAGGTGATTTTTGGCTGGACCATGTAGAAGGGTGGTCTGCTCAGAGGGACCACTTGAATATTCTCTTCCTTATGTATGAAGAAATGAAGAAGGTAAGGCTCAGCTTTCCTACTTGGTGTTAAAAAGTCATGCAGACCTGCTCACATTTGTCAGGGATACAACAGGATGTTCAAGATGAATGAGAGCTTGTATGGATACAAAATAACAACAGATGAAAAACCTAGTATCATAGATGTCTCCCTTTCCCCACTAGTTCCCTCCTTGTCCAAGGAACCTTCCTTTTGAGATAAATTAATAATTTGTATATATTTCATGGTTTAATTGTTGGAAATAACAACCTTCAAGCCTTCTCTAGCAATCTGTCTATGATCTTGTTGCTTACTGTTTCCTGTATGTGTGTTCTAGTGTGCAGCTTCCTTTACTCAATGGTTTCTAAAAAGTTTAAAAAAGGGGCTGCAGACCACATGCTCTTTTTCTTTTCTTCTTCTCTCTCCTTCTTTTGACTATGTGACCTGTTGATAGCTATTTTTGTTACAAGGGAAATGCCCTGGCCAATTGGCACAGGGAACCATCTCAAAGATATTTGAAACTGGACAAATCAATTTTTGTACCTGTATATACTGAGTACATTAAAGTTGTGAGTAAACCAAATATGCTATTTCCATCAAAGTGTACTTCATTTTTATCTCTTCAGTGCAGGATATGAAACAAGTTGTTTTATGGGAGAGTATTTTTGGGCACCTAATACAAAAACATTTCTAAAACTCTGCTTTTTGTGCATTTGACAAAATTCTGTTTTCCTGACAGATCTGAGATTGCAGGTTATTCAGTCTAACAACTAAAACCATTGTCAAGCATAATTATATTTGGAGATTCTGCTGTAAAGTAGGATTGTGCATTTCGGCTGAACCTCAATCCATTTCTGCTAGCCAATTTTTGGGAGATCCCAGGATCTGTTTTTGTGCGCCTCCCAAAAATGGTCGGGTAGCCAAATGGCCATTTTCAGTCCACATCTGAAAAATGTGTCTAGATCCAGCCTATTGATGGCAATTGCCGGGGGGGGGGGGATCTTTTTATTTCTTATCAAACTGTTAATATTGCCTAGTATTACCTGTAACATTAGTAGGCATGGTGGCATTTCTAAACCATATCTCATTTTAGGATCTGAGAGGCTGTGTAATAAAAATATGCAACTTCCTAGGAAAGAGACTGACTGAAGAGGAGATAGATGATGTTGTGGATAAGGCTTCATTTAGCAAAATGAGTGAGGATCGTAGAGCGAATTATACCACTGCACCCTCTGACATCCTAGATTTCAGCAAAGGACGCTTTCTGCGCAAAGGTAAGTCAGTGGCCAATGAAGGCAGTGTTGGAACTCACACATCCTGCATGAGCTTGTAGTTCTCATCAAGGGCTAAGATGGGCAAGTGAGTTAGTTAGCAGAAAAAAATCCCTTCCCCATTAGCCTCTTTGTCTGTCCATCTTGCTTTCTCTCCTCCTACCACCTTTCTCGTTAGACCGATACATCTCAAGGACACAACTCCTTTTCTGAGCACACGGCAAACCCAAGAGCCCTCCATTTTTGTTCTGTTCCTGTGAGCATGGAAAGAGAAAAGATGTCTCTAGAGAGAGAGATAGTTAGATAGGTAGGCCATAACTTTCCTATATAGAAACCTAGATCTTTCAATAAAGACTTTTTGTCATTTTAAAAGCCTGACTCTGCTCCTGATTTGCTGAAACTCATTTGCTCTACTGCTATGCTCAAGAAGCTTCTGATCACCTAAAACTGCTGGTACTGCTGTTGTTGTTGCTTTACTATTTTTGAATGCTTTTTCCTTTTTAAAATTATCACAGACCTGACATATTCTCCTCTGATTTAGCTACATTTAAAAAAGTTTGTGCTTTTCCGGGTTTGGATAAACATCCTTCATTATGCTGAATTATATAGCTTTGTGGTTTCATTTCTATGGATTTACATGAGAAATGATCAGCTTCACTAAGTCTGGAAGTCAATTTTCTGCCCCAGAACCTTCCAGGGGCTCCACGAAATGCCAAAATACCAAAATAAACAAGCAGCAAGCAGGGGTTGAAGGCTGCTTTTGGCTTTGAGGGGAAAGAGCATTTTAAAAAACTTGTTAAACAGTGCCAGGCAGCTCTAAAATTTGTTTGAATTGAACTGACATTTCAGAAGGCTTCCAGAAGTAAACATTCACTCTCCTCCTTTCAAACTGAAAGATAGGCTGGAGAATATGAACACTCCACTAAAGTTGTTTGCTATTCTGTATCTTCAAGTCATTTTTGGCTTATGGCAACACAAAGGCAAACTTATCATGGGGATTTTCTAGGACTGAGAGTGTATGACTTACCCAAGGTTACCCAGTGTGTTTACATGGCCAAGCAAAGAACCAAAACTTGGTTTCCAAAGTGGTAGACCAAAACTGAAATGCTTACACTACATGCAGAGATTTAATATCTGAACAACACAAGAATCCTAACAAAATACTAATAATAATACATTTTGGGCTCTGTGTATTTTGTATGAGCAATTCTCATTTTCAAACACTTTGGAAAATCCCAGAAACTCCTGCTATAGTCCTCAGTAAGTTTGTATTTCTAGTTGATTTCACAAGAAATGTGGGGCAAGAGATTGTGGTAAGGTAGTGGCATACCAAATAGCATCAGTTCCCCATGGTAAGGATGATGGCATTTGACCATACACCATTTCATGTATGAACATCAGATGTTAACTGTCATTTTTCAACAATTTCTTTCTGACTTCTGCACCAGGTACTATTGGAGACTGGAAAAACACAATGACGGTGGCACAGAGTGAAAGGTTTGACAGTGTTTTCAAGGAACGGATGGAAAAGCTGCCCTTCAAGTTCTGCTGGGATATCAAAGATGAATTATGAATAAGGATCAATAAACCTCTACAGATTTTAAAAATTTTGGTTAAGCAAAACTTGTTTTAAAATGAGTATGCAAATTTTCTTAGGTCAAGCAGGCTTGATTTCAATAGAATTTTCATAATGTCCAGATTCTGAATGCTTTTCTGAAATACACATTTTTTATAGAGAACAGACTGGATGAGGACTTTTGTAGGGAGACATGGGAGAATTTTAAATCCTCTATTTTGTGTCATGTATTCCTTCCCGTACAAAATTTTGTATTTTCCTTTGGCCAGAAAGAACAGTCAGATCATTGCAAGGTTTAGGAAATTCCAAAGGATAAAAATATAATTGTATTATGGATTGTATAATATTAAGAAAATTTGAGTTGCATCAGATCTTATGAATCAGTAAACTGGAGGAATGTCTCCCCAGCCACTAATGATATATCCAATACCAAACTAAAAAAAAGGAGCAGATAAAGTTTAAATCTTATTTTTGACACAATGTTCAATGCATTGCAAAAGAACGACAAAAGACAAAAATAATAATTGCATTGTGGATTCCTTATGGCTTCAAAAGTTTAAATTGGATTTTGCTTTTGACTTTTGCTCTTGTGAACCGTGTTGAGTCGCCTGCGGGCTGAGAAACTGCGGTATACAAGCAAAATAAATAAATAAATACTACGAAGAAGTGAAATGTCTTCACATTAACTTATGAGGAGCCAACACCAACTTTAAGAAAGAAAAATTATGCCATGTACACATATAATCCATGTTGCTTAAAAACAGAGATAACAAAAATGTCTTAGAAAAGTCCTTTTGTAGCATTGTCACAACCTAATTCTGAAATACAAAGACTAAATATATTAATTATTTTATTCTTACACTGATATCTACCTTCTTCCCAAAAGCATTTTTTTTGGTGTCTCTAAAAATTTAATTCCTTAAGCAAATCAGAGTTTTGAAAATGGTTGTGTGTGTGTACAGCTACACTTCATGTATAGATGTGGCCTAAGACCCATAATGCACAATCCTTCAGTGTACTTATGCTTAAATCCTGCCATGCATCTTTTGGGGACATGATATTGCTGTTATGTATAGCCACATATTGTTGTTGTGTACATCCACATCACATCTGTACTATAGTATTGTATCAAGGTATTAGCTATCTATGTACATGTTCACATATTATCTTTTCATGCTTCATACATAGAAAAGGGATGATAGGCTGTGCTAGGTAGGTGATGCTCTGTGGATACTAATTGCTTGGTTGCAAACCGGTATAGCATGGCCTCATTAGATAGGAACACTTATAGTTGTTTAGGCTGATTTATGGGCCTGTTATGGAAGCCTGGTGATTTTAAAAATGTAAATGAGGTGATGGTACTTGTCGGCAACAAACCATTTCCCGTCATAATTGTAGTGATTTCAGCTAGGACCATGATTAGAGAGGTCCATGCCCGGTGAGCCTTTGCCAAAACCAGATCAGCCAGGACAGAGGACAGGCACTCTGGGTTAAAAGCAAGCTACAACGGATAATTGTAATTTTGCCAAAAAGGATGCAAGTACAAGCAATACACTTTTAAAGTTATAGCATAAATTCACAGAGAAATGGATGACATCTTATACCATTCTGACAGCTGTTCAGACTTCTCACTTCATCTTCTGATTTGTTAAAAAGAGAGACAGGGCATGATTTATGCTCGGATTGCTCGGGTGTCCCCTTGACGTCAAAGCCTGCAGCAGAAGATACCTGTGGTAGGAAGAAAGACAGGTGATGGTTGGAAAGTTTAAAGAGCCAAACTCTTGCAAGGACATCCTTTTGGGGGGGGGGGATCCAGGAGGAAATTGTGATGTAGGTATGCCGATGATTCTCTGATTAACTCAAGTCTCCAGCTGCACATGAAACAAAGGTGCAAGACACAAAGACAAAGGTTGGGAAATTGTAGGGGGATCCCAAGGAATTATTCAAATTGAGGGCATGGAGAGGCAGCTGTCTTCAAGATACATTTTGATACATACACTTGATACAGTTTATACACTTTTGAGAATTGACACAGTACATAAAAATATGCAAATTAAACAAAAGTCATCAAGTTGATACATTTATTAAAGGGTTAGGTCTGATAGAATTTTAGGATACATCTGCTGCTAGGTCAATTCTGGATCCTCTAGTGCATCAACACTTCTCAACTTTCCAGTCATGAAAATGTTTTTTAAAAGAACAAAAAATATATTGCTTGGAGTTTCTATAAATATGAAGCGGGGAGGCATGGCTCAACAACATAATAAAACATTTCTTTTTCTTTCAAGGCAACAACATTTTTCAGAACTTCTCACCTGTGCATGCTTTTGCTCTGTTACAAAAACTAAAATACTTTCAAGTACATCTTCTATGTGCCAAATAAACACAATACCAAAGTTTTAATGTCTCTGAATGTCTCCTTAATCTTCTCTTCTCTTCATGTCTGTATCACTCTCCATCTTTTCTTCATGTCTGCATCTTTCAGCCCCCTCTTTCCTTTGTGTCTGTATCTCTCCCCCTTTTCTTTTTCTCCATATTTGTATCTCTCCCCACCTTCCTTTTCCTTCATCTCCGTATCTTTCATCCCCATCTTTCCTTTCCTTCATAATTGACATCGTAGTTTGGTGAGGCAGCAGCATTCTTTGGCTACAGTTCCCAGGATTCCATAGAATCAAGCCAGGATGCATTCATTCTGCAGCATAGATTCACCCAAGAAAGCTGAGCTGGGATGAACAGGACAGGCTCCTTGAGGGAAAGGTTTCCTATTTCTCTGGTTTTTCCTTTCCACTGCTGGGAACTTTGGTGTTTTAATACTTGTTTATAAGTTATTCTTAGCATGCAGCTGTCCACATTACAATTATTTATTTATTTTAAAAAATTACACTTTATTTTTGCATTTATTCAGTTGTCTCACATGTTCACAGTGATTTAATTGTCTTTAGCTTTGGAGGGAGTTGTCCTATGGGACTGTGTTTTATTTTTAGGCATTGCACCGCTACCTCACTTGATAAAAGAAGCACAATTATTCACCACAAAGAAAACAAGGTAGTACTTGTTTGTCCCTCAAATGTGGTCCTCATTCTGGTGATGTAGGTCTCCATGGCAAGCCTCTAGTAGTCTCTTAGAGCTGCATCTCAGTCTTTCCTGTTCATTATGAAGTCATTGATCACACTGTTTGGATTTATGTTTTATGTAATTTCTTTATGCATCTTGCTGTTATTGTGTTATTTTGCTATGCATGTATTATATGATTGCACTATTGAGTGCTTTCTAAGCCACCCCAAGTCCCTTTGGGGAGATGGTGATAGGGTATAAATAAAGTTTCGTCCATCCATTCATTCATAAGACCTGGTTAGGCTGCAACTCTCATCAGTTCCAGATTGAGCTGGCTTCAACTCCCATCAGCCATAGACCTACCTGGGCTGCAACTTGTGGATGTCCTCCTAATAGTTCTGATGGCTCAGGCTTCTTGTTGGGCTATAGATCCCATCATCCCCAGTCTGCCTAGTGAAGTAAGGATGTTTGGAGATGCAGTCCAGTAAGTAGGTTGAGCCATCTGACTAGTTTGGAGGAGAGCTGCACTCTCAGTTGTACATGCGAAAGACATAGTTCACTGGATATGGCTGGGCTCAACTTCTATCATCCTCTATCACCACCCAAACTCCACCAGTGCTTTTTGCTAGATTGCTGTGGAAACAGACACTGGGATCATGAAAGGTAATCCCAGGCATCTGTTTACACAGGCCCCATGCATCAAGAAAGGTCTAGATCTTTGGAGGTATTTTAAAAACTGGATTAAAATGAGTAAATTCAGTTTACTCTAGCTAAAAATGGATTATCCTCAGGTTGAGTTTTAGGGCTCAGGACCCTGTGTTGAAAAACAGTTCTCTGCAACTTTCTCATTTTTCTTGAAAGACAATGGTTCATCTCTCTGTTTTATTTAAAGACAGAGATAGCATACATTATCCTTGCTGGTTGGGGCAGAATACACAAAAATGCAGGAGACCTGTATTCCACAGCTTCCACCACTAGAGAGCAGTCTCCAGGCTCATCTTTTATTAGCAGGTGCTGATAAAAGGAGCCCCCGTGGCACAATGGGTTAAACCCACGGGCCGGCAGGACTTCTGACTGGCAGGTCAGCAGTTCAAATCTGGGGAGATTGGGTTGAGCTCCCTCTCTCAGCTCCAGCTCCCCATATGGGGACATGAGGGAAGCCTCCCACAAGGATGGTAAAACATCAAACATCTGGACAGCCCCTGGGCAATGTCCTTGCAGACTGCCAATTCTGTCACACTAGAAATGACTTGCAGTTTCTCAAGTTGCTCCTGACACACAAAAAAAGAGCAGGTGCTGGCATTTCCACTGTTTATATATATAACTGCTGTTTTCTTGCTGCACGCTAAGCCTGTGAACTCCAACCTGTATTTATTAAAAGGGAGAGGCATCCTATCCTAGCCAAAGGCCTGATACATTGTCTTTCTTGAATCTGCTGTGGGAGTATCAAATTCAGTTAACAGAATAAGCTAAAAATTAAGAGCTTTTGATGTCAATATAAGAGTTACACAATGGCTTGAAATTCCAATTGTTATTTGTTTTGTTTTGCTTCACTGGAGGCTTTGTTTGAGAATATGGGTGTGTATGGTATTTTACATAATATCAACTTGGTATTGGATTACAATCAATGGCAGAGTAGTTGCCAACTTTGTCTGCCTATCATAATAACTTTATGGAGTTTATATAACTGATACAAACTACTAGCCCATACTGACTCAAAAATTAATACAAAAAAACAAAGAATAATAGAAAGAGACCTTATTGAACCACTGTAGTTTTGATTTATTTTATCTCCTCATCTGATGCTTTTGCAGATGTTAAAAAAGTAATAATAATGACATTGCGTCGTATGTATGAATCTTATGAAATAGATATGAAGAACGAGGCACAAATAAAGTTTTGCACAGCCCTATTAGTTATTAAGTAGCTTCTAAGTTGTTTTGTTTGTGACACAATTTCCAAACTATAAAAAGTTGC